TGTTTTTGTTGTATTTATCAGCTAGGAAAAATATTCAGCATATTTTCTCTGAAGATTGCTATATTTTTGGGATGTTTTTCGGTTGAGAATCTGTTTTATAACTAGAATTACAAATTTCGTGTGTTATAATTGAGTTTGTTGAGTTATATTAGGAGTCTATTATGTTAATTGGTTCATTTTACATTTAAAAACAGTTGAATAGACCATGAATTGCGCTATTTATATTACTATATTCACAAATACGTATCGTGAATATGGTCGAATACAATAATTTGTCTAGCTGTAATCCCTTATTTCACACCGCGAATACAATCAAATACAAAAATCTGTCCAGTTGTAATCCCTTGTTTCACGCCTAGAAATGCTACTGTATTCATGAATACAATAGCTTAAATACATCGCATACACTCTAAAAACCTGAAAACATAGCTATAAGAAGTAATATAGTAAATGGTAGCTACAACTAGCTAATAACCACTAAAATATAGTGGTTTCTGAAAGTTTCTCTTTTCCAAACCTGTTTTCAAATATCTGTTTGTTTATAGATTTTAACCATTTTTTGGCAAACTCTGAAAACAAAATCTTCAAATCCTAAAAACAGCTCTAGAGTAGATTTTAAAATTTTTTTACTCACAAAACTTCAAATTCTTTCAAGTAAAATACATGTCCAAACATAATTTTAACTTTTAAAAACTATTTTTCACCTCATCTTCAAAAACTTATTTTTTTCAAGTTTCAACCAAATTTATATCCAAGCGCTCTTAATTGTTTGACATTATATTTATTTACGTATATTAGTAGTCTAAGTTAAGAATATAAGTCTGAGTTGCTAAAGAATATATATATATATATATATATATATCCGGCTATTATTTTTTAGAGTGACTATACAGTGTAATTTTCTGAACTAGTAGCTATGTTAAAGAAAAGCCCAAACTCTCTCCCTTGTCTAGGTCGGCTGGGTTTTCACAAAGCCCAATTATTTTTGGATGAACAAGAATTTAATGAGGGCCCAACTTAATATGGATCCGGCCCGTCAACTTATAAAGTTGGTAGAGTTGATTTCTCTTTTCGATTGATAATACTCTCCCGAGTCTCGTCCTTACCCGTCCAAATCCAAAACCCTAAACCTCCCTCACCCTACCTCGTCTGCAAACTTGCTCCTCTCCGGCGAATAAAGTAACCTCTATCTCTGTTTTGTTACTAAGTTTTTCTGATAGAATACGCATTATATGTGAGCATTGGCTACTTGTGCTTTGTTGTTTTTGCTATTTAATTTTCACTCGTGCTTTGTTTCCTGTATGTAATCAAATGTTATAGACACGTCTGTCAATTTAATCAGAGGACTTGAAATATTTATTGTAACGTTTCAAATTTTGATTTTAGTGGAATGAAGTTCATAAAATTCAATTCATTTTCCAATCATTCCATTCAGACCTACGATTCCAGTGTTACCATCTTTTTTTTCCAACTTTACCATTTGTTATGATTTGAAGAATTTGAGGTTAACTATATTCAACTGCTAAATTGAGTTAAAGTCTGTTTGAGAAGTTGGATTGTCCAATATATCTAATAGTAAATGATTTGTCTAACTTTGCTCATTGTTTGTCTCAGAGATAGAATAGCTAACAATGGCTGAGGAGGTGCCACGGCCTTTAAATTATATACCAGAAGTGATTCTAAAGAAGAGGAAGAACAATGAAGAGTGGGCAATCAGAAGAAAGCTCCAGCTAGAGCAGAAAGTCAAGAGACTTAAATCTGATAATTTTGTTATCAAGAAGCCTGAGCAGTTCATTCGAGAGTATAGGGATAAGGTATTTATATCTATGAATTAATTGTTTAAATTGCATCCTTTGTTTAGAATTTGAGCCTTTTCCCTTTATCTTATGCTGGCTGTAAGACTTGTATTTGCCCATGTCCCATTTTGTTTTTGTTTTTACTTTTATTTGTTTGTGACATATTGCATTTATTTCATGAAGCAATTGTTCAATCTTTCCATTTTTTCTCTTGGCTTCAGCATTTTATTTTCGTTTTGAGTCTCTTTACCAGTTATAGAATCTGTAATCAGGAATTTGGTGGTGCAGTGGCAGTGACCTTTGTTAAGGATTGATGTATTTATGGTCTGATACTTACTTTGGTTCACTTATCTCTTAGTTTGGTGGCCCTAAACAAAATGATCTCCAATTTCCTTTATACTCATTTGCTAGTAACCTGCATCTTTTTGTCCTTCTTGGATATGAAAATCTTTTTTTGGGGGTCAAAAATTCCTGGATGTGAAAGTCATTGTGGCCAAAAACATCTCAGTAGCATTCTCTAGGGTCTCTAAAAATTTAGACTTACAACCAATAGCCATAACACAGAGATAGTGATGTTCTAACTTCCGAGGAAGGAACAAGACAGTATAGTGCAATAATTAGAAGTAAGAGGGTAAAAGACCTTCTGAAGCAGTACAGACAACAATGTGTTAAGGGGAGATAACAGTTTTAAATTTTCAAATTTGGGGGGGGGCCAGGACTGCAACTATTTATTATGGGTGGCACCAACACTCTGGAACTACATCTGGCCTATACAATCACAAGATAATATTGTAACCGTAATCACTTTGAATACTTATCAACAAGCGCCTTCGCATTCTCTGGTGCAAAGAATCTTGCCTGTGACATCATCCCCCATGTTAGAAGATAATTGATAATCTAAGTGTTAATGGGAAATCCTTAAAAAATTTCAAAAGCAAATTGCAGGTGCATAAATTTGGATTAAGAGATAAAATTTAACAAGTTTGCAGTTAACAGAAAGTGTTATATTATCATTTGAATATTTTAAACTACACTAATATGCGAGGTTAACTAATGAATTTCCAGGTTTTTTTCCAGAAGATAACAGACTGTAGTTCTCCCTGTCTGTGCCTGAACTGAAAGCTAGTGGAACCTACTCTTGATAGTGAATAATGATAATCAAAATGGAATTGGCATGCTATATTGATTTACCTATTGAGCCTAAGATGTCCATTACCCTTGCATCCTGTGGCTCTTGTATATTTGCTTAATGTTAGATTGCCTTTGGAAGTTGTCATGTTAGTCTTCCTTTTCACGTCACTTGCTCTTTCTTCTGCTACAGCCATTAGTGGAGCTTGCCTACAGTTGGCTTTTTATCTACCTTTTCTGAGGGATCAACTTGCAGTAATCTGATTTATAAATTGTGGTGTATTGTTTGTCCAACATTCTTCTCAACCGAGCTGTTGTATATATATTTAGGAGATGGATCTTGTCCAAATGAAACAAAGGGGTAAGAAAAGATCCAGACGAGCATTGGTCACATCTGATTCCAATCTCCTTTATGTCATACGCATTGGAGGGTGGGTTCGTGGTTTTCCAATCATACTTTTACTTCTTGGCTAAGGTAACTTGGATCCTAAGATTTTGTGATTCACTTCAGGAAAAGTGATATGCACCCAAGAACAAGAAAGCTTTTGTACTCCTTGAGGCTGCGGAAAATCTTCAGTGGTGTTTTTGTGAAGGCAGATGCAAGAATATTGGAAATTCTGCTAAAGGTGGAGCCTTATGTCACATATGGGTAGGTTGAACTAACCTTTTTGCTAGTTTGCTACACGACATTTAATGAACTTTCATTACTGGATATCCCCAAAGTACTCAACCTCAAATTAGTAAATAGGCATTATGCTTGCTGGAGAGGGGGTGACTGCTCTTTTTTATTTTACTGGTTCTTAGATCTGCCAAAGGGACCTTAATTTGAATATTTAATTGGTCTTGGACTTTCTCATTTTTATTTTTTCCTATTAAGGAGAGCAATATTCTTGTTATGCCAAAATCTGTGTTTGCTTCGTCTTTGATAGTTAAATTACTGTATGTCAAAAAGAGGAAAATGAGACCCTTAATTAAGTCTATATAATCCCGGGTATATTTAATCATACAACCACTTCAATTTCAGCTATCCCTAAATGAATATCCATCTACCGTTCCACCAGTTTGAAGACAATGCCACTTAAAGAAGAAAGTTTTAGCATGTACCATATGATGACACCAGAAGCTTAATTTTGTAAAAAAATTATGGGACACCAGGATAACATAGGTCTACTTTTACAGCTATTGGTCACTATCTCTACTTAGAAACATGCCTGATCTTGGTAGAACATTAAATTGCAGTTTTTTATTCCTTAGGCAGGAAATTTTAAGTATTTAACCATGTAAAACAAAACAGCTTTTGCAGTTCCATGTATTTCTCTTCTTTCATAAACTACGAGGCTGTAGAATATTTCTAATTTTATTTTGTTCATGCTTTTGAAGATACCCAAATCTCAAGAGCATCAAGGATCTTATTTACAAAAAAGGTGCTGGAAAAATTGACAACGAGAGAGTGCCTTTAACCAGTAACGAAGTTGTTGAACAGGTACCATGAGGTGCTGCTTTTCTCTTTTATAATAGTTTGTGGGCTGCCTGTGTAGTAACTATTTATTGTTTGCAGGGATTGGGTCAATATGGTATTATATGCTTAGAAGACCTTGTGAATGAGATTGCCAATGTTGGTCCCCATTTCAAAGAAGTCACTAGTTTTTTGTGTCCCTTTGCTCTCAACAAGCCAGAAAAGGCATTGCAGGGTAAGAAAAAACGATTTGTGGACGGTGGTGATTCAGGCAATCGTGAGGGTGAAATCAATGAGTTGATCAGCAAGATGAATTAGCATATTCAAGGGGTCTATTTGTTGGGTGTATTAGTGTTGTGATAACGTCATTGGATAATGTAGCACTTAAAACTTTCTCGTATGATGGCAGAAGAATTGTAGCTATGATGCCAAAAATGATATTCTTTTTCTCCGTCCATTGATCCCAATAGCCTTTCCGTGGGTTGTTTCTTATTTTGAGCCTTGAAGCTGAACCCATTTAATTTGTAGTCCAACCTTTTTGTGTTTACCTATTTTTTCTGTCATCAGTTACCACTAGATTCTATGCAATGGCTGTAGGACTAATCCTGTAGTAGAGAAAAGATGAAAAAAGAACAAACGGGCTACGGTTAGCCACCAGAGTTAGATGCATATTACGTACTGGTGCTGTAGAATACAGATCTCCATTTCCCTATAGTTTTGCAGCTTGGAAGTGAGCTGGTGACGGTCAGGTCCATTAATTACGAAGAAAAGAAAGTTTTTACTTTGAATATTTATTCTACCTTTTAACATAGACCGATAGTCAATTCCAAGTGATTCAGAAGTGAAGTTCAATTACTTCTTCCTAGTTTAAACTTCATTTGATTTGATGCAGAAGCATTTTTCTTTTTGTGGCAGGATAGAAAAAACATGATAGACAGAAAGAAAATTAATGTACAGTAGTGTATTTTAACTGAAGATCCAATGACGTGACTCTTCTAAACCTTCCTTCTCCATTTTTGTTGGGGCAATTGCTTAGAAATTCCCTGAAAGGTGGTTTTCTCCCATCCCCCAATCAATTTCTTCTCTATATATCTTTTAAAAAAAGAATGGAGGACGGAGATGATTGGATAGCCCGTGATAAGCTTTACCACGTCCTCTTCTGCTTCTTCATTGCTATCATTACCTCCTTTCTCGCGGAAAGAGCTCGTTACCCTTTCATCCGCCGGCGGAGCATCTGGGTCGGATCCATTGTCTCACTCGCTGCCGGCGCCGCTAAGGAGGTGGCCGACGAATTAGGTTATTTCAGGTCAGCAGGCGCATCTACCAAGGACGCTGTTGCCGACGTCTTTGGTACTCTTACCGCTTTTCTCGCTCTTTCTCTCTACAAATCATCCTTCTTTCACCGCAGTCCCGATCAATCCGTTCAGGCTAAGGCACTACAGATGGTGTAATCGGTTACTTAATTTAAATCCATCAGCTGATTCGGTACTTCACGATCCTCAATTTCTTTGTTTAACCTCCATCATCATATAAATGTTCTCAAATTTTGAGCTGGAAATAGTTTTGGGTTTTTATTATTTTCGAGGAAAAACTAGTGTAGACTAATCGACTATAATATGAGGGTTCCAATGCAAACAATGTAGAGTTATTAACCTATTTACTCATGAAAAAGTGTTTCATATAAAGTTTACTAGTAATATAAATTGGCCTAGAAATGAATGAATCTTAACGTTAATACAGCCTAGCGCAGATTAATCGAGTATATTATACGCATATCACCCTTTAGTAGAATAGTTATTGTTATTACACTTATTAGGACTTTGGATCTTTTTTATGCCTGCATTGAATAGCCAAGTGTACCAAGGAAAGCATATTTTCATTTTCTTTGTTTCTGTCAATATAGTACCTCTTAGAGAAAACAGTCGAATTTGCATTTCACATTGATTTAGTATTCAAGTGACATAGCAAGAACATCGTCTTTCTTTTGTGGATGGTCAAGATATTTGTCAATTAAAATTGGAAGTTATTGAATATGTGAAGATCTTAGCGGAATAAGATTGGACAAATTTGTTTGTCAGACTCCAACTTATAATCAGCTTTGTCTTAGCTAGCTGCATATCGCCTTGCTATATCCAGTAATTTCAGAGATCACAGAGGTAAATGAGCGACACTGAATCATGTTTGGGATAAAAAATTAGTATTGGCAGTGCACAAAAAGAGGTGACAGTTTCATATCAGGTTGAGCTCAATACATATATAGTTATATTCACAATGGAGTACTCCATATGGCAGTACTTTATGGAGGAGCAAGAGTTCCTTTTTCTGATACTCAAGCATTTACTTTTCTAGTTAGAGACCAAGGTCTTGGGGCTAACGTGGGATCCGCTCAAGGACCTATGGGTTTAGGTAAATATATGATTAACATTTCTGCAATTCTCAGTCTGTTCTGGTGCAATTTAACCGGCTTTCTAACACAATGGATGAAATTAGCCTGCTCAGTGAAATAGTATAGGAAATGGAGCATGAAATAAGACTAGTATCTCAGCTGCACTTCATACCCCTTCAAAATTTCAGAGCGATGTAGAAAAACAAAAAGAAGTCCTACTTCCTGTAGCACTAGTTCTGTGAAAACACATGTTACATAGAAGTCTCTTCTACAATCCAGTAAAAACCTCACCAATAGTACACATTGCATAAGTTTGCCAATATTAGTTCTCTTCTCAAACTTGGGCTTTAATCATTTCCTTCCTTCCCTCTCTCCGTTATTGTATCTTGCTAAAAATCTGTTCCTTGATAAGTTATACTCCTATCTTGCTAAAATCTGTACATTTGGAGAGAGTGGAAAGAGTTTGTTTTATTCAGCTCACCCTTGCCTTCCAGATGCAATATGGTACAGAAGTTTTTACATTCATAAAACTGCACATTTTCTACTAAAGTATGTGACTATCATGGTCTGATGGTATTACTGATGAAATCACCTTCTGAAACTATGTTCCACTGAAGGCTTCCCGTGATTGTTGTCATCTTCATTTGGCAGTTTGACTGCAGAGTAAATACCTGCCCCAGCAAGAGCGCCAAGAATCGGAGCAGTCAGGTAGATCCAAATGGCTTTATAGTTTCCTGCTGCTACTGCTGGTCCCAGCGTTCTCACTGGATTCATTGAAGCCCCAGTTGTCTCCCTAAAACACAAGAAATAAAAAATTTGAGGAAGGCCGTTGAATAGGCTAGTAATTTATTGCACAAGCTATGTCCAACCTGAAGTGATTTCCTGTGGAATTAGGCTGTCATTACTTTATTGTTCATCTATGTATACTGGTTCATTTGTCTCATTTTATGTCACATCAAACTTTAATTTGAGAAAGCTGTAAAAGATGGTGTTAAACATTTGGAGATACGTCAAAGTGCGAAAAAGTATTAATACATATTTATGGATGGAGGGATTATTTTATTCAAGAAAGCTGTCAACTTTGTGTTCTAAAGTAATCTCCAAAGCTTCAACTTAGTCGGACAAAGAATTCAGACACGTAGATAGCACATCTGTACATGATTTTCGTTCAGCTTTTCGCATCATCATGGAAAGCACTTAATAGAAATAAAGGCTACTAGATCAAGTTGTACTACAAGATCTATCAAAACTATTATAGGAGCAGCAAAACCTTAACGAACATTCTAAGATGCATAAATGAACACCACATGGCTAAAAGCTTAAACAGCAAGATTTGCAGATTACCCAGCTATTAGAATGTTGAGCATGACGGTGGCTCCTACTGCTATTCCTGCAAGCTCTCCCACCTGTAGTTTGCCAAGAAAAGATGACCTCTAACTCAGGAAACTCGGAATAAATTTATTTGGCCTGTTGTTAGTTTACTACTAGTACTACCATTTAATAAAATGATTGTTTATAGTTTGTACATAGAGATTTGAGTTGTCAGTTGGCAAGTTTTACTACCATTAATATATGCAAAAGAAGGGCAGCCCGGTCCCGCTATGCACGGGTACTGGGAAGGGCTGGACCACAAGTGTTTATTATACATAGTCTTATACTACATTTCTGCAAAAGGTTGTTATTACGGTTCAAACCCGTAACCTCCTGGTACAACTTACCGTCAAGCTCCCTTCGCCATTAATTTATGCAAGTGAATGTAAAAACAAACCACAACGAATTTAATAAGGGTCTAGACCGAAATTATTATGGGGATCTGTGAAGTTTGTCCAATTGACAATTAGCCAAGTAGGAGGAGAGAGAGCAGAGAATAAATGCTTACAGCTCTAGTGTCGGTGGCCACGGCAGTGATAACAAACATGAGGTTAAAGCTGATGATGAATTCCAAAGCAAAAGCTTGAAGGTAACTACCAGACGGAACAGTGACTCCACCACCCATTATTGGGTGCAAAACTACCTTGAGTGTGAATGCAGCACAAAATGATGCTATAATTTGTGCTCCAATGTACACAGGAACCTGTCAAAAAAAAGATTAACACACTTAACAACATAAACAAGAGCCAGAAACTAAGTGGTTAGCGAGTGTTTATAAGTCATACATTTTTCCATGGGAAATGCTTGAGAGCAGCAAAAGCAATGGTCACAGCTGGGTTGAGATGAGCTCCAGAGATGTGGCCAGTTGACAGAATGACAATCATTACAGCTAGACCACTGGAGGCTGCCAATCCAATTAAGGTTTCAGAGCCTTGTGTCTTTTGGTTCACAATTGCTGTGGCTGTCCCTGCAAAGATCAATATCATAGTACCTATGAACTCTGCTCCCACCTGATAAAAAACACACAAAAGAAACAAGTTAGTTTTTCTTGATATCATTATCACTTGCATTTGCTTATTCTGTTTTCTCACCTTTCTGGCTAGTGAGACAGGAGGAGGAGGTAACGCGCATGAAACAGGCGGCAAGCTTCCTTCTTCTGAAGCCCATGCTTCCACACTGAAGCATTTTAAGCTCTTGAGGAGTGAGTTTCTGCCATTGCTGTTTCTTTCATGTTTGAAACCACCAAAAAGAGGAGCACCAGGAGTTCCTGGAGTTGCTGGTGTTGAAGGGGCTGACGTTCCATCTTCAGCATCCATACCTATAGCTCAAAGATAAAACTATGATATTATAGGAAAAAGAATTAATGAACAGCGAGATAAACTTGAGTTCACTGTCCTGTGTCCTTATGACAGTATGACTCCAATGAATACCATTTATAGTACTGATTAATTGCATCAGCCAATTAAGAATGTTTGACTTGGGAGAATCCCAAGAGTGAGAAAAAAAAGTTAGTGGATGGAATTGAAAGACTGAAAAAGGAAAGTGGGATTCGGAAGTGGAAAGTGGGACACAAACCAAAAACCTTAGCATTTGGAATTTAAATGAAGCATTGAACTCTAGACATCAGCCATGTGGTTCCTGTCCCGGGCCACTAGATCTTGTTATTTAATTAACACACAAAGATCATGGAGCTGACCATTTTGCACCAGGTATTTTAGTTGTCCATGCCACCATATTTGCTTCCCAAATGAAACAATAAACAGGAGGGAAAGAATCATGGTATGGTAGGTGAATGAATTGCTTGGAAGTGGGCAATAATCAATTTATAATTCATTTCCTTTAATAAAGTTGCCATTATTTGGATTATTGTCATGATTGTTAGGAGAAAAGAATAAGAAAAACCAACCCTTAATCAACCTTAGTCCACATCAAATGTAGCTGAGTACGTGGCTTGTTCTATCACCTTCCTTTAGACTTTCATTTTACTTGTATCACATCTACACGTAGGGGTGCCAAAATGGTTAAAAGAAAATAGTTAACTATCCATATTATTCACTAAAATATGACTTGGATAATGAACTTTTTAAAAATAGGTCAAATATGAATAAGAATCATATTATCCATTTAGAAAATGGATAATCAATGAGTAACCAATGAGTCTAACTTTTACATTTGTAAAGCCTCAAATTGGGGGTTCCTTAAGTTAGGAAGACTAAGAATTCTTTCAAAGTAATCATATATTATCCGTTGGTTAATCCGTTTTTATCCGTATTAAATATGGATCGGATCGGATAATTGATCCATTTTTTTTATTATCCGTTTTCGACCCGAACCATATCTGACCCAACCCGCCCGTTTGCCCACTCCTAATCACATGTGACGAGGTCATGTTACTTAATTTTTTCACTTTAGGCGTCCTAATTTATCTTTGAGCGTACAAGTTATAATTCTAGGATTCATTAAGAATTCTAATGGGTCGTTTGGCCGGAGGTATTAGGAAATATAATGCAAGTATTAGCTCTGTGCATTGTTAATGCCTTATTTGGTACATTTTTTTAATGTGTATAACTAATGCTTGTATTAGTTATACATCATACTTGGTATTATCTTATGTATAAGTAATTAATGCATAGAGAACCATGACATTAGTGATAACAAGGCTATTAATGCATGCACTAGTATGAATAAAGACAAAGTTGTCCTTAAAGTCCCTTAAAGCTAGAGAATATGGAGGGCATTTTTGTAAACAACTATTTTTCTTAAAAATTATGCAATGCATTATAATTTTTAATACACCACACCAAACAGTAGATAAGAAATAATATCTGCATAACTAATGCTTGTATTACTAATCCATATATTATTAATCCTTGCATTACTAATATATCTTATTCCGCACTATTCTTGTACATCCTACCAAACGGCCCCTAAGTGTTTCACTTACCATTCCATATTTAGGGTTCTCTGCATTTCATGACCTTTAAATTTAAGGTAATTTATGTGTTTCTTAAGTCGAAAGTCTATAATAAATATTCTCTTTACCTTCTCAAAATAGGGACGAGGTCTATGTATACACTATTCTTCCCAGACTCCACTTGTGAAACTTTCCTGGGTATAAGGTAAATAATGATGTTACTTGGAGGGCTGGAGGTTTCAAATTATTTGCCGATGACAACTTAAGGACGTGAGTGGAATGCATCCACGCACATGCAGGGTTTCATACTAAATATACTGCTTTTAGTAAAAACATTTACTGGAAACCAATACTAAAAGTACATAGGGAATCTTTTATAATGAATGTCAAAGCTTTTGGCAATCAATAACGACGTAGGCCTACTTTGATCGAATGTAATACAGTTTGTCCTTTTTGTTGTTCTCGTTTCTTCTCCTTCTCTTGTTTTTCTTTTTTCTTCGATTTTGGTGGCTCTCACTTCACTTTTCATTGCATCCACCATTTAAAGCGTGACCAAATGCAATCAAAAGGAATGTCCCTTCATTATTCATTTCATTTTTCCAAACATAATCATTAAGCAAAAGAAGATCAAGAAGGATCCATGATCTGTTAAATCAATGGTGATATATATTCGCACTTAGTTGATGAAAATATACTGCTTTTTGGCTTTCTTTTCTTTAAAAAATTTAGAGTAAGTTCTTTATTGTGCCTCATATATAATTGATGGGTGGAGTCATATACCGCTAGAGATAGAAATTTACAGCAATGGCGAAAGACATATGAGAAAAGATAGTACAAGTGAAAAACATTGAAAAGATTGGTAACTGATTCAAGAATGGTGTGGGAACAAATGCTTTTGTTTCATATCATCAATATGCATGTAACTCTCTAAACCTTGATATGTTCTTTTTCAAACTTAAAAGCAATAATGGCAACAATAGAATTTTTCTTCCAAGGGTCATTTCAGTGGCAAAAAGTTGCGAATTGGTACGGTATAGAATTTAGAGGTAGGAAATAGATCATAGACCTCCTTATTTTCTTCAGATATATATTGGTGGAATCTCCATGTCTTCCACTTTGGCTTTCTTATTGTACATGAAGCAGAAATGAAAACGTACAAATTCTTTAAAGTTTAATATTCAGCTCATGCATAAAAATTGACAAGGTTTGGGAATAGTTCTTCCAAATATTTCCTATAAGTTAAAAGATTTCGAAACATTCCATACTTAAGAGTCCTCGGGAGCTAGAATATTAGCTACGGGTTCGACTAAATAAATAGCTTTAGTCTAAACTCTATATTTATGTTAAAAAATTTGTTAAATATGTATAAAACTTAATTTAGAATTCAATTACTAGTTAACACCGGATATCCCTACTCTAGAATTTAGAACTTAATTATAAAAGTCAAATGTTTGGCTCCACCTCTAATTCTATGACATTTTTAAGTACTAATGTTCGTCGAATCGTCGGAGGTTTCAGATTTGGTGATGACAACTTGAGGTGGGTGGTTGGAAGCATCAACATGAAGGGCTTTGCACTAATTAATATGATTGCTTTTAGTAAAACATTAACTCAAAAACAATATTTAACGTGCATAATGCAGGGAATCTTTGTTAATGAATACTAATAAGTAAAGCTTTTCTGAATCAACAACTTAGTCTCACTGATCTGATGAAGTACTATAATACGGTTTGTCTTTTATTACTCCTTTTCTTTATCATTATTTCTTCTCTTTTTTAGTTCAATTGTTTGTGGTTCTCATTTCCCATTGCATCCACCATTTAAAGAGTGACAACTGCTATAGAAAAGAAAGCATTGGCATAATTCAATTTCCAGACATAATCATTAAACAAAAGAAGATCAGAATAATTGACTTTCGTATTAATTGTGATAATTAGCAATTAGTTGATCAGTGCAATTTTTTTGTTTTTGTTTTTAAGTTTAATGAGAAGGAATGTGTCATTTCTTTTGCTTCGTTTGGTAAAAAGAATATCTATACTCTTTTTCAGAATATATCTCCAAAAGCAGATGCTTTATTGCCACTCTCAAATAGTATAAGTCACTTGTTTGGAGCGAAGGCAAATTATGCTGGGATAAATTATATTGGGATTGATTATGTTGGAATTAATTAGTTTAGTATTATTTCTTATTGATTGTTCGGTATCTTGTACTATTTTTAGGATTGCCAATTTTAAAGTTTTATCCTTGGATATACCGAGAATGATTATGTTGGGATGTGACGACCCAAAGGGTCATCACTTGCTTTCAGTTGATTTCTGTGTCTCTGAGGCCTTGAAAACCTCATTAGAGTCGCCTTGATTTGCGTGCGCAGTCCGGACACGTAGCCGGAAAGCTTAAATATGAAACTCTGTGAAAAATGCTAAATTTGATGTTAAAATGAATAAATTTGACTTCGGTCAACACTTTGGGTAAACGGATCCGGATCCGTGATTCGACGGTCCCGGAGGGTCCATAGGAAAATAAATTTTCGACGGTCCCGGAGGATCCGTGATTCGATGGTCCCGGAGGATCCGTGATTCGACGGTCCCTGAGGATCCGTGATTCGACGGTCCCGGAGGATCCGTGATTCGACGGTCCCGAAGGGTCCGAGAAATAAATTTTTAAGTGAAATTGTTTAAGGAAATTTGAAATGAAAACTGATTAGAAAGCAATGGTATCAGGCCCGTATTTTGGTTCCGGCACCCGGTACAGCTCTTATATATGACTTGATTCATTCCTTTGAAATTTGGTTGAAAACGGACGTCGTTTGATGCGATCCGGACCTTAATTGAGAAATTTGATGTTTAAAAGAGTTTTGAGAAATATCATTGATCTCGAGGTTTAATTCGATGCTCGTGATGTTATTTTGGTAATTTGATTACACGAATATGTCCGTAGGATTTTTTGAGGCTTTGTGTAAACTTGTGTTGGAGTTTCAAGGGCTCGGGTGAGTTTCGAGTAGGTTCCGAGATGCCTTAGACTTAGAAAGTCAGGTGTTGCAGGTTCAGGAAGTTGCAGTCTCTGAACCCTCTAGTGCGGTCCGCGAAAAATCGTGTGCGACCGCTGAGGGGCCAGCGCAACCGCGGTCGCCTTTGCGTGGTCCGCGGTGGAGGCTGTGCGGCCGCAGTCGGCCTTGTGCGGTCCGCACAGGGTGCTGAGCTGCAGGTCTTCAGGTACTTAGTGTGGCCGCAGTTTATTTGATGCGGTCCGCACTGGAGGTCTGAGATGGGTATAAATAAACGGGAATTTCAGTTATTTTTCACTTTTCAAACCCCCTCCCCCCCCAAAAAAAAACATAAAAGACGATTTTTCAAATAACCTTTCTTCTCCAAAACATTGGTAAGTGGTTTCTAACTCATTTTCTTCACTCCTTAATATCTTTTAATATGTTTTTAACTTCAAATCAAAGATTTTCATAGGAAAAATTGGGTGTTTTGGGTAGAACCTAGGTTTTTCTAAAATTTGGAATGTGGACCTCAATTTGAGGTCCGATTCAAAACAAGTTATATATTTGGATTCGTGGGGGAATGGGTAATCGGGTTTTGGTCCGAACCTCGGGTTTCGACCACGTGGGCCCAGGGGTGATTTTCGACTTTTGGATAAAACCTTGGAAAATTCATTTTTCATGCATTGGGGTTGATTCATTTAGCACTTATTGATGTAATTAAGTAACTTGTGATTAGATTCAAACGGATTGGTGGTGGAATCGAGGAGTAAATCTATAATTGAGATTTGAGTGGTGTTCAAGGCATCGAGGTAAGTGTTTGATCTAACCCTAGCTTGAGGGATTAGGAGTTGAGTCATATTTGCCACTTGCTTCT